GGGTGGAGAGGGGGACGGGGCGTGGGGCGCGGCGGCGGGAGGGGCTGGAGTGGGGCCTGCGGGCAGGTTCAGGTGCGCTGAGCTTGGCAGCTTGCAGCCTGATGTTGATGCGCAGCGCCATATGACAACATTAGGCCTGCCTGCGCGCCCATCAGACCTGCCAGGTCCAAGTTCCCCCGCAGCAGCAGCCGGCGCAGGGCCCTGTCCGAGCAGCCGCTGCCCTGGATTGCCTGTGCTCATCCTTGGAGTGCCCTGGTTGCCCTGTGCTCGCTCAGCTGCCCGCTGTTGGCCCCCGCTGCGAACGGCTCTTCCAAGGCTGCATTAGCCGTGCCGGTCACGCATAGGAGCTGCCGCTGAGGGGCTGGCCTTGCGGCGCTCCTGCCTCTTGCGCTAAACAGGAGCGTGGAGGAGCAGGTGCTGGAGAGCAACCCGCTGCTGGAGGCCTTTGGTAACGCCAAGACCGTGCGCAACAACAACAGCTCCCGGTGCGGCGGGCGCGCTGCAGCGGAGGATCTGGACGGGTGCAGGGCTTGGCCGCGGCCGCGCAGTTGTCAAGCAGCCCGAAGAAGATGCTTCAGTGGCACCTGAGCACAATTCACAGCCAAGTACAGCCGAATGCCATTTGCATATCAAAGCTATGCGGTGCACTGAAGCTTCGCCATGCATGACTGGCATTGACAACCCCTCGTAGGTTTGGAAAGTACGTGGAGATCAACTTCAACGGCGACGGCGCCATCAGCGGCGCCGCCATCCGCACCTACCTCCTGGAGCGGTCGCGCGTGGTGGCGGTCAACAACCCGGAGCGCTCCTACCACATCTTCTACCAGGTGGGCGGGGCCACGGTGCTGCGGCGCTCCGTAGCTGGGTTCGGCAGGGCGGCGGGGCCAGCAGGGCGCTGCGATGCGGCACATGGGTCATGGGGGTGGTTACTGCGGCGGGGCAGCAGTCGCTGTGGCTCGAAGCCAGCGGCTGGGGCTGGTGCCGGGATGCCTCGAAGCCGGTGGCTGCGCGACACCGGTAGCTGTCGCATGTTGCAGAAAGCAACAGCAGCAATGGGCGCCCAGGTTGAGGCAGCGGCGAGGCCCACGCTCACAGCACCTCCGGCCCTCGCCCCGTCCCCTATGGACCGCAGCTCTGCGACGGTGCGAGCGCGGAGGAGCGGCGGCGGTGGCGGCTGAAGCCGGCGGCGCAGTACCACTACCTCAACCAGAGCACCTGCTTCGACATCCCCGGGGACAGCAATGCGGAGGAGTATCAGGTGCGGAGCGGGCGCGGCGCAAGACCAGCTTTCGCGCGCGTCCGGCGGGCAGCGCGGCTGGACGCAGGGCAGCCGCGTGCATACGGCGGGACCGAGGCCGCGGCCGGCTCGCCGTGCCATCAATCAGAATGGCAGCAGGCGCAGCGGAAGGCAGGCATGCCCTTGCAACGTGCCGAGCCGCCCTCGTCCCTGGCCCCCGCCTTGTTGAATCCGCGCAGCGCACCGTGACGGCCATGGCGAAGGTCGGCATACCCGCGGAGCAGCGGGAGGCGGTCCTGGCCTGCACCGCGGCGGTGCTGCACCTGGGCAACGTGGCGTTCGCGGAGGGCAGGGACGCCGACAGCAGCATGGTCAAGACGGGCGGCGCCGCGGAGGAGGCGCTCGCGGCGGCGGGTGGGCCGGGGGGCGCGGGTGGTGGGATGCCCCGGGCTCTGGCAGCAGGGCGCAGGAGTTTGATGCGGGGCTGTTGCATGGGGTTGAAGCACGCCGCATTGGGGTTGCTGGGTCCGCTGCGGCTGCGTCAACGAGCGATTTGGGCCATGTGGGGCCGCGGCGTTGTTCAAACTCAACCGCCTGACACGTGTGCGGATTTATCGCCCTCTTGCCTGGCGTGCCATCGCAGCCGACCTGCTGGGCGTGTCACGCGACGGCCTGGCGCACGCGCTGACGACGCGCACGCGACAGACGCCGGAGGGCCCGATTATCAGCCCTCTCAACGTGCGAGCCGCCACCGAGAACAGGGACTCCCTCGCAAAGGTCAGCGCACGGCAAGGGCACGTGGGCGTTTGGGATGGGTCACGTCATTAGCCGTGTGCTTGCGCGCCAACCGCAAGCAGCGTGTGTAGGCGGGGGCCGAACGGGAGGTACCAGGGCCGCGCCGGCCGATGGCCGGCGGCAAAGCTTGCCATAGGGGCGGCCCGCTGCAGCAGGTTGCTAGCCTGTGGTGCAGCCTCGCCCTGCGGCTGAGCAAGCCCCGCTCATTTCATCAAGCTGCACGTGAAACGAGTCGCCGTGAAACCCGCCCCCAAAACCAGGTCATCTACTCCAAGATGTTTGACTGGCTGGTGGCCGCCATCAACAACGCCATTGGAGAGGACAAGGTGCGGGGCTGCGGCCCACTCAATCCCACTGCACCGCCGCGGCTGCCATGTATCCCCCCGTCAGGGCTCGCCTGCTCCTGGACAACCCTTTCCACCTGAACAGCCAGCTAGAGCCAGTACGTTTGCTGGGCAGTTTGATAAATTCATGCCTTTCGTCATCACAAATCGCCGCTCAAGCTTGCCAAAAATCTGCTCGTTTGCGTTTGTCGCAACCGTAATCGACACTACCATGCCCTGCGCCGCCCTCGGGAACCCAGAACTGCGCGGCCAGCGTGGGCGTGCTGGACATCTACGGCTTTGAGTCGTTTGAGTTCAACGACCTGGAGCAGTTCTGCATCAACCTGGCCAACGAGAAGCTGCAGCAGCACTTTAACCACCACGTATTCAAGCAGGAGCAGGTGGGGCAGGCCGCGGCGATGCTTCCGCCAGTGGTTTGATCACACGCATGTGCGTGTGGTGTGATTGTGTGTGCGTGTGTGTGTATGTATGTGTGTGCATGTATCTGCGCGCGGGTGTGTTCAAAGGTGGGGAGTGCATTCACCACAGCTTTTGCCGCCGGCCTGCTCGTCTTCAACTTCTCGACGACCGCAGCTTTGTCAAACGTCGTCCAACCCGCCACGGCCCCCCCCTCTCCTTCGCCCCCTCACCCGCGCCCCTCTCCCCCCCCACACACAAGGCTGAGTACGAGCGGGAGGCCATTGACTGGTCCTACATCGAGTTTGTGGACAACCAGGACGTGCTGGACCTGATTGAGGGCAGGATGGGCATACTGGACCTGCTGGACGAGCAGTGCAGGTGAGGGGGAGGGCCACGGGCGAGTGCGCGTGCAGGGGTTTTGAGATGCTTAAATGTGTGTTTGTGTGTGTGTGTGTGTGTGTGTGTGTGTGTTTGCAGATGGAGAGGTGCGTGGGGTCATGTGTGCATATGGTTTGTTTCTGAGAAGGGGGGGCGGGTAAACTTGGAACTGCTATTGCATTTGGGGGCCGGGTGCGGACCGCTTGCATCGACTCGCTCACCCCCGCGCAGCTCTGCTGCCGTGCCTCCCGTCCGCCTGACGAGCTCGTGCTGCCCTATGATGCCCCTGGGCACGTGTCCCGACCCTCCCCAACCTCAAACCCTTTCAAAACTCAAGCCCCTAACCCTTCCCACCCCGCCTCGATGCCTTCTCCACCCCACCAGGTTCCCCACCTCGACCAACAAGGACCTGGCCGAGAAGCTCTACGCCAGCGGTGTCTGCCAGGGCAGCGCGCGCTTCAAGCGCCCCAAGCTCAGCCAGACCGCGTTCACCATCGAGCACTACGCGGGTGCGGGGGCTGCTGTCGGATTGTGGCTTATGTCTAACCCCCGCGGATGCAAGGTGCCGCCGATGCTGTTGGCGGCGCAGGTGCTGCCCTGCCCTCTGTTGGAGCCCAGCAAGCTGGTCAAGCCTGTTCTGGCTCTTGGTGATCTGGTGAAACCACCTGCACCTCGCTTGTCCAAGCCGACCAAGAACGCATTCAGCCACGGAGTATCAACGCCCTTCTTCCCCAGCCCTGCAAGGCACGCCTGCAGCCGCACATCCACAAACCTGAACACGCCTGCAAGTGCTATCCGAACTCCTCTCTCTTTGTGTGCCTCCCTCTGTGTATCCAACACACACTAAAACACATACACACAAATCTCTCTGTATCGTGCTCTGCAACACCCACACACACACACACACACACACACACACACACACACACACAAGGCCCTGTGACGTACCAGTCCAACAACTTCCTGGAGAAGAACAAGGACTTTGTGGTGGCGGAGCACCAGTCCCTGCTGCAGGCCAGCTGCAAGCCCTTCGTGCAGCAGCTCTTCCCGCCGGAGCAGGTCCGGTCGCTGGAGACGCGTGTGTCTGGGGCCGGGAGCTGGCATCAAAGAGACCGCCGCGGGGATCCTTGCCGTCCTAGCACCCAGTCCAAAACATGCATGGATGGGAAATGCAAGCAATTCCGCACGCAGCTCGCGCATGTGGGAGATTCCGGCAGGACTCCTGGCGCCGCCGTTGAGCCCCAAAGGGGCCGCTCGCACGGCTGCCAACCGCCCCCACACCCACACGCACCACGCCTCCCCCCCTGCCATCCCCAGGAGTCCGTGTCCGACGCCACCGGCCCCGGGGGCGGCCCCAACAAGCGCTTCGCGGCCTTCAAGTTCAACAGCGTGGGCTCCCAATTCAAGCGCCAGCTGGGGGAGCTCATGGCGCAGCTGGGCCGCATGGAGCCGCACTACATCCGCTGCATCAAGCCCAACAGCGGCAACAAGCCTGCGCTGTGAGGCCACCACCTCCCCCGCATGTCGTTGACCCAGGCAGAGGGGCTGGATTGGCCAGCAATTGGGCGCCTTGGAGTGTCCATTTGTTGCGGGCAAAGCCCTTTCTCGACATGTCTGCTGTCGCTCGTTACACGCAACAGCTTGCAGGCCACGAGTGCGCCCTGATAGTGCGCATCCGCATGCTCACTCGCGCCCTCTGTCTCTGCGGCCGCCCGCTCGGATGACACCCCTGCGCCTCTGGCCCGCAGCTTCGAGAACGCCAACGCGCTGCACCAGCTGCGCTGCGGCGGCGTGCTGGAGGCGGTGCGCATCTCGTGCGCGGGGTTCCCCAGCAAGCGGCCGTTCCCGGACTTTGTGGAGCACTTCTGGCCGCTGGCGCCGGAGCTGTACCACAGGCCAGAGCTGGACGACAGGTGCGGCGTGCATTTGTGTACGTGTTTGTGCATGTGTTCCTGGGTGTGTCTACATGTGTGTGTGCGTGTGTGCGAATGCTTGTGTGTGTATGATTGTGGGTGCTTGAATTGCAATGGGGGTGAGGGGGGGCTTGTCGCCCGGCACTGAGCATAGTTTGGAGCTTCAGGACGCGTCTCAGGAGCGCACCTGGTGGAGGTGTGTTGGAGCAGGAGTGATGCAGCCAGGGGCCGAAGCTTGCCCCTCCAGCTGCGACAGCCGCGGCGGCACACGTCTGCGTCCAAACGGCCCTACTGCCCTGCACCCCCGGCCTCGGCCCCCGCCTTCAGGGAGATTGCGAAGACCATCCTGGAGCGCAGCGGCATCCCCGCGGGCAGCGGCTACCAGCTGGGTGTCAGCAAGGTGTTCCTGAGGGCCGGGCACATGGCCGTGCTCGACAAGCAGCGCACCGGTGAGGGGGGAGAGAGGGGCAGGGCGGCGGTGGGGCGTTGGGGTGCTGCCGTGTGCGTATGGCGGCTGTCTTGACATAGTCCTTTCCCTGTCTGTGTGTAAAGTGGTGTGGTACGGTGTGGTGTGGTGTATTGATATCGAAACCTTTTGTTTGTGTGTGTGTGTGTGTGTGTGTGTGTGTGTGTGTGTGTGTGTGCGCGAGTGCTTCACAAAGTTCTGTGGTCTGGGCGCAAGCCTGGCATGCGAGCGGAGGGCATTGCACAACCAGCCTCGCTCTTTGACCTCACGCCGCGTCCCCCCACACGATTGGACTCCGCCCTCTTCCCTGCCCTCGCGCTCCCCAAACGAAGAGCGGCTGGCCAGCGCGGCGACCGTCATCCAGCGCTTCGCCCGCGGCCACCTCGCGCGCCTGCACCGCCGCGCCGCGGTGGCGGCCGTGCTGACGCTGCAGGCCGGCGCCCGCGGCATGCTCGCGCGCCTGCGCGCGCGCGAGGCGCGGCGCCAGAAGGCGGCGCTGGCCGTGCAGACGGCGTGGCGGCGCCACAAGCTGCGGGAGGAGTACAAGCACGCGCACATGCTGGTGGTCGCGGTGCAGGCGCTCTGGCGTGGGCGGCAGGTGCGTGATGCAGGGCCGGGCGCGCGTGCGGGGCACCGCCCGCCTTCTTGCTGCAGGGGTGGTGGCTTTACCCATCATAAAAGGGTGCCGGTGATCACCGCGCACCGACAGCGTGCCTTGATGCACGTCAGCATGCTCGATTCATGCGGGAGTCCCAGCTGAAGCATGGTGCCGCCCATGCTTGCAGGCGCGCGTCCGCTACGACAGCATGCGGCGCGAGAGCGCTGCCGTGGTGCTGCAGTCCAACTGGCGGCGCTTCGTGGCGGCCTCGGGCTTCGAGCGGCGGCGCGCCGCCGCGGTTGCGTTGCAGACGGCCTGGAGGTGCGCGGCCCCTGCGGCCTCCTGACTTTTGCTAGTTTGTTGGGTCCCGGGCAGGGGGCCTGTTTTTGGTTGGGTCAAGGGCAGGGGGTTTGGCGGGCGAGCGGGCGGGCGGCTGGGAGGGCCCTGCTCCGCTTCGGCCGGCCGCAGCGCGTTTGCAGCTGCCAGCCACCCGGCATGCGGCCCAGTAGCGGGTAGTCTTGCCTGCTGGGAAGACCTACGTGCGTTGCGATCGTGTTATCGATTTAAGAACGGCAGGTCGGAGATTCTCGTCGTGTGCACAGCCCTGACGGCGCCCCCGCGCCCGACGACGCGCAGGGTCCGGGCGGCGCGCTCCGCGCTGCGCGCGCTCAAGACGGAGGCGCGCGAGGCCGGGAAGCTGCTCGAGGACAAGAAGGCCCTCGAGGGCAAGGTGCGCGCTTTTCGAACCGCGCGCCCCGACAGATGGCGCGGCCCGGCCGCGATCCGAGCGCCCGGGCGGCCTCGTGACCCCCCTTTGCAGCGTCTGCATGGGCTGCCATTGCCGGCCCTCGTCGCGCCGTGTCCATGACTGCGAGCCCTGCTCTGCTTTTGAGACTCGACATGCAAGCCGACCCGCTCCACGCTGCCGCGCCGTTGTTGACAATGGCAGCTCAAGGAGATGGAGGGCACCCTGGAGCTGGTGCAGGGGCAGCGCAACGAGCTGCGGCAGGAGGTCAAGGACGCCAAGGCCGCGCTGGCGGAGGCGGAGCGGAGGATGGCGGTGCG